TATATTTACCTTATAGTTTATCTCAACGCACTTTTGAACTGGACTATTCACATGTATATTTATCATTAGTTTATATTTAGCACAATGTCTGTTCTGCACTACCTATATAAATATGTATGTAGACATACTACAAGTTATTACTCATGGCCTACAAACTGTGTACTTTGTACTCCGGTTGCCAAGCAACGACATTTCATTGCCAGACTCACTGGTTTCTTGTGTTTCTTTGCAATGACAATAAAGAAAGTCTAAGTCTAAGTTCATCTCTCAGGTAATCACAGGGAGGTGACTCAGTTCATGGTTATATCCTCACTTCACGCTCCCATTGTTCTGGAGAGACTGTGACTCCAGACACATAATCCCCATATTGACTGGGTTACAGGTGCGGTACTGAGTTGGAGTGCGCACTGCCACTCTTTCTGTTTGCAGTCTGCTCTCTCTCTCCTGCGCAGGTGTCCGAGGCTATTTGTCTTCCTCCCAATTTAACCAGCGTACCTCGTCAATACCACAAACTTTTCCAGCCACTCCATCAGGCGGGTATTTTTTCTAAACTAGATCTGCGGAACGCTTATCATCTTGTAAGAATTCGGGAGGGAGACAAATTGAAGACCGCTTTTAAGACACCGTTTTGAATACCTTGTAATGCCGTTTGGGTTGACCAATGCCCAGGCTACTTTCCAAGCCTTGGTCAACGACGTACTTAGGGACATGTTTAATCGTTTTGTGGCTGTCTATTTAGACGACATTTTGATTTTTTCCTCGTAATCTGAAGGAACATGTGCAGCACGTTAGAATGGTGCTACAGCGTCTTGAAAATAAATGATTTGTCAAGGGCGAGAAGTGTGAATTTCACGTTGGCTCTGTTTCATTTTTAGGATTTATTGTGGAGAAGGTGCAAGTGAAGCCGGATCCTTCCAAGGTGCAGGCGGTGGCCGAGTGGCTGGTTCCAAAGACCCGCAGCTACAGCGGTTTTTAGGATTTGCTAACTTTTATAGATGCTTTATCCGAAACTACAGTCAGATTGCTACCCCGTTAACTCGATTAACCTCCACGAAAGTTGCTTATCTGTGGTCACCTGAGGTGGAGCGAGCGTTTCAGCTCCTAAAAGAAAACTTTACATCGGTTCCGGTGTTAGCTCACCCAGACCCGGCACGCCAGTTTGTTGAGGTAGATGCGTCAGACACCGGGGTGGGAACCGTGCTGTCCCAACGGGGTGAGGGGGATCAGAAAATGCACCCCTGTGCTTTTTTTTTCCAGGAGGCTAACCCCTGCCCAAAGAAACTATGATGTTGGAAACCGG